TTATTTCTTCTTTGTTCTTAAAGTCTTTGAATAATGAGTCAGTGGCCACAGTCATTGCCTCTGTAATTACTTTGCCATCTGTGAATGATTCTTGTATTTTGCTAGATGGTGGCAAATGCAAAGTGATGCTTCAGTGCAAGTTTTTACTGCGAGTTTACAGAAAAATGACTGTTCAGCTTTCAAAACAGCCTTCATCTCATCAATTTTCTTTGTCTGAAGAAAGCAGTTCAAGAGAAAACTTTCCTTGAATTTACTGTATATCATTTTGCAGTGTCATACCAAACTTCCGTCATTATTTTTCAATATACTTTGGTGACATACAAGGCAAGCGCTCTTGTTGTTTACAGACTGGAACAGAAAATTGTCTTCCTCTTGCATGTGGAAGTTGTACATTTTTGGATGGTCCACGCTCATCACTCATCATTATTGCTTCACCTCGTAGTTTGTGACATCACTCTGCCGCAGGTCACGCTGTAGGTCAGCCTCTAGATCCGTGCTTATAGAAATTCCAGAATGTTAATGGCTGCTTTCAAATGTGGAGAAATGGAAGGTCACTTCTGTGGTCATGATTTATTTCGGAGGTCCCTGGTCAGCTTGCATTGTTCAGATATTGGATGTGGGGTGTGATGGTTTTACCCATAATTATTCTTCACCCTGCACAGACTTATTACATAAGCCAGCCTTCAGGACAACATTAACCACAACACTATACAACCCTGTCATGGTAACCTCCGCAAGACATGTCACAGCTTCACATGGACACCACCATCACAGGTGGGAACACCGCCTACCACGTGCATGGCAGATACTCATGTGACTCGGCCAATGTTGTTTATCTCATACGTTGCAGGGAAAGATGCACCGAGGCATGGTACGTTGGTGAAACCATGCAGATGCTACGACAATGGATGAATGGATACCGCGCAACAATCACCAGACAGGAATGTTCCGTCCCAGTGGGAATGGCCCTCAGCAGTCAAGGACATTTGGCCTCGGATCTTTGGGTAAACATCCTCCACGGTGGACTTTGGGATATGCAACAACGTAGAGTCGCTGAGCAGTGGCTGATAGCCAAGTTCATTACCCATGAGGACGGCCTCAACCGGGATCTTGGGTTCATGATGCACTACAGGTGACCCCACCACACTATACACTCTCACACACGCACGCACGCACGCACACACACACACGCACACACCTCCCTCATACATACACAGACTCTTTTTCCGTCCTCCCCCCTCACACACACACTCTCCCCCCCACATATATGCACAAATACTCTCTCCTCCCCCCCTCACTCTCACACATACTCTCTCCTCCCCCCCTCACTCTCACACAGACTCTCTCTCCCCCCAACACACACTCTCCCCACTTCACTCAAACACACTGTCTCCCCCCTCAAACACACATACAAACACATATGCACACACACTCTCCATCTCTCCCACACACACTCACATGCGCGCGCGCACACACACACACACATCTATGGGGTGAATTTGTATTTGCAGATACATTTTATTTTGTTCAAAAAGCACACAACTTATATTCAGCCAGTCAATGTGGCGTTTTATAAATTCCTACTTTAGAAACAAAACCAGTCGGACTCCAAACTAAAACACAAACAGATTCTAAACAAGGCCTTATACCTAACTTGCATTGTCTGACCTAAAATGTCACTTCTTTACACTGGTAAAACCTTTAGTTCTTTCAAGACCATGACTTGATAGGAATTCGGGATTTATACATACATATTAATCAATTAAAAGCTTCTAACTGATTAAAGATTTAACAGCACCTTAGGGTTTGTTTAGTACATCCTCATCAATGGTGTGAACTTTTAATCTTTTACTTATAAATTCTGTGTCTGATACTACCTTTCTCACTAACACCTGAAGGAGGACTGAGGCTCCGAAAGCTTGTGTTTTCAAACAAATCTGTTGGACTATAACATGGTGTCATGTGATTTCTGACCTTAATGGATACACATTTGTGTTTGCGAAATGTTTCCTCTTTATATACCTGTAGAAGCTATTACAGTGAATTTTCATTTATTTCACTGGATTGCATTTGTATTCTGCCCTTCTTTTGCTTATCAGTTTCTTGGTTTTGCCTTTGCTGTATTCTAAAAACTCCCAAATCCTCAGATTTATTATGATTTCTGGCCACTTTGTGTGCCTTTTCTTTTAATCTTATATAATCCTTAACTTTTGTTGTTGGATATGGTTGACTGACTTTTCTTTTGAGTTTTTGCACCTTGGAGGAACATAGGTATTTTTAATCAACCTGTTCAGAGTTAATAAGACACATTGATAAAGCATTGATGAACTCATTTTCTGAAGAAGGGTCCTGACCCGAAACGTCAGCTTTCCTGCTCCTCTGATGCTGCCTGACCTGCTGTGTTCCTCCAGCTCCACACTGTGTTATCTACATTGATGAAGCAGGTGGGTTTTGAACCCAGGCCTTCTGGCTCAGAAGTATGGATTCTACCACTTTGCCACAATAGCCCTTGAAGGAATATAAAGTTGCTCTAAACTGTGTAATAATTGTCTATTCCCGATGTAAAATTATGCCTTTTAATGTATATTCCTAATCCAGCTCAGCTAATTTATGCCTCATGCGTTCATAATTTCCCTTATTCAAACTGAACACTCTTGCTTCAGATTGAACTACTTCACTTTCAAATATAATGTAAAATTCTATAATATTGTGGTCAATCATCCCTCAAGGTTCTTTTACAACAAGATTATTCATCAGCCCTTTTCATTACATAATACAAGATCCAAAATAGCCAGTCCTTTAGTTGACTTTTCAACACACAACTCTAGAAAACTCACTAAAGATCCAGAAACTCATCATCCACAACAGCTCAATTGGTTTACCTAATCCATATGCAGGTTTAAGTCACCCATGAGTACTGCATTGCACATGCTATTTCATCTTCAGTTTTCTACTATGCTAACATTACTATTTGATGATTTATTAATAACTCCAACCAATGTCTGCTACCTATCGCTGTTTCTTAGTCCCACTCAGATTCCACACATCGTTCGTCCGATCTGAGATTCTCCCTTATAACATACTGACCCCATCTCACAGTATCGGAACAAGCTAATCTCCTTTTCCTTCTTATTTGTTTTTCCCCAATGTTGAATATCTTTAAATATTCAGTTCCCAGTTTTCTTTCTCAATTCTTTTTCCCTTTGCCTGAGTCAAGGGGTAACTGGAGCTTCCAAGGTGCTGCTCTGGCTGAACAGGATGGGGCCCTTTCATCTGGATACATTCTGACAATTTTACTCACTTGGCAATTGGTAGGAAAGAAAGATCCTTTACTTGCTGAGGTACTTGCTACTTCTTTCATGCAATTTGCTCCTGAAGTAATGGGGTTGGAAATTTTATTACAATATTACATTGAAAATTGAGATGGGTTCAAGGTTTTCTGACCTCCAGATGAGAAGCAATGAACTAGAAAGAACCTATATTTATTTAGCTAATTTCATAGTCTTGGGACAGCCCAAAACATTTTATAACTAATTAAGTTCTTCTCATGTGTAGTCACTGTTGTAATATAGAAAATGCATGAGGAAATTTGTGCAGATAGCAGCAAAATCCAAAAAAACCAAAGTATTTACTAGATAATTAGTTTCAGTGTGTTGGTTGGGAAGTAAATGGTTGCTAGGACAGCAGAGGGAACTATCTTGCTTTGATGTCATAAGGCCTTTTATGTCCACCTAGGAGGGCCTATGGTGCAACAGTTTAATAAGTCAGTTGAAAGACAGCCATCTAACAGTCAGCACTCCTTCAGTAATACACTGAAGTGATAAGCCTAGATTCTGTGTTGAAGTCTCTGGCAATGGATGTTAATTCAGAACCTTATTCAATCCTCTCCATACTGATGTTGGTACCAGCATGCTTTCCACACACAAAAAAAAACTACTGGACAGTGATGGAAAAAAACCTGAAGAGAGGTATCTCTTCTGCTGCTCCAGCATAGGCCAATTATTTCACAATGTACTGGAAATCAAGACTTGGATGTTCTTTTATGGGTGGTTTTGTGTCTACTGAAATCAATTATTTCAATACTTGGAGAAAGTTTGTTGTGGATGAGATGTGGAAAGGGATGTTTGATGTGGAAAGAGCTGTTGTAGATGATGAGTTTCTGGACTCTTTAGTGAGTTTTCTAGAGTTGTGTGTTGAAAAGTCAACTAAAGGACTGGCTATTTTGGATCTTGTATTATGTAATGAAAAGGGCTGATGAATAACCTTGTTGTAAAAGAACCTTGAGGGATGATTGACCACAATATTATTTATTATAGGGAGAAATAGTGACAGATTTTGAATGGAAATATATCTCACTGATAGATCTGCAACAATGCTTTAGCAACCCCTCAGTTTTGAAAGTAATGCACAGTGTAGTGTAACATTATTCACCAGTATTAAAGCTCTACAGCGTATGGTGATGCTGTGGCTAACTTATTTAGGATTGGTAACCTATAGAACACAAGTTCAAATCCTATCATAGCAGTTTTGATGTCAGATATAAGATTGGAAATTTCAAAAATTATGATGCTAATGATGCTACTACTAAAAGTGGCTATGAAGCTGTCAGCTTCTTATTAAAACCAAACTAGTTCACAAGTGTACTTTAAGGGAAGGAAACCCCTTTCCCCTTCTCGTCTATACCTGATGAGTGTTCAACATTAATGTCTGATGAACTTTAATTGCCTTCTGAATTGGTTTGGCAAACCATGCAGAAGTATCAGACTGAAAGCCACCACCAGACTCTCAAGGTATGGCAGGCTTGTATCCCCAAAGAAGGTTTTTTTGAATTATGGGAAACATAGTGAGGGCAAAGCTTTTACCTTTATCAGGAGACAAGACTGTAGCATATCACCTCGATCATAAAATAAAAGATTAAGCAGTAAGTAAGCATTGCTATAGTTAGATTTCATAAACATGAATTTTTCTCCTCACCATCACAACCAGAGACAGACATTTACCTGTAGTCCAGCAGTCTCTCCATGAGGCGAGTTACTGACAATACGAAAGAAACACCAGTTTCTCTCCATGTTTCTTGTTCAATCTTCTCTAATAAACTGTGAGCACAAGAAAAAAGAAAGTTGTGAATGTTCCCTCCTGCAGCAAACTTCCACAAGTACAACCTGCTATCATTTTGGTAACAATGTTTTAAAATCTTGGGTTTTTTAAAATCTTACCTAGGATAAGGCCCAAAAAGCTGGGTGCTATTTCCAGGCAGCAAAAATTAAGCAAAGACAAGGATATTAATCACATTAGTCCTGCATAATGTTAAAATTACGAGTTTACACATACAGCACTGAGCCAAGAAATGCCTACAATGCTTAAAGTTGATTATAGTCCTCTTGCCAAATAAAGTCATCACATCATTGGAAAGACAACTGTAGTAGAAGGGACACTTTACTTGCAAAGGTCACCATTCAGCCATCAGTGCAAACATAAAAATTAAACATCATTACTTTTTTTATATGTAAGGCCTGAAAGGATGGAGACTCAAGTTAATGGTTTTCATGCCTCTCTGATGTGTGTATCAATGTCAGATTTGAATCACGTTCAACTCAGAACTGAATGGAATAATTAATCAAGATATTGCATTTGAACATTACAGCTTGTCAGGTCTTTTAGATACACTTTTTCCAAGAATGTCACCTACTTTCTTAAAAGCTCACACTAGCCAGATATAGACACAAAAACAGTAAAGGACACAATCCCACCCACTCTGGAAAGATTGTGCACCAACATATTCATAGAATATTTCTAGGCTGAAACATTCTGTTCAGCCCAAAGCATCTTCATAACTATACTGTACTGCAACTCATTTGTTTAATCCCAAAAATCTTTAACATTCCTTTGACAAAACCATATGGATGCTGGAGCACTGAATAAACTTAAGGAGCAGGTAGACAGATTTTCAATTGGTCATTGCATAAAGGATTACGGGGAGCAGACAGGAAAATGGAGTTGAGGCCGAGATGAGATCAACTATGATCAAATTAAATTATGCAGCAGGCTCAAGGGGCTGAATTGCCTACTCCTGCTCCTTGTTCTTAATATTTTGTGAATTCTGAAATATCCCTTAAACATCTGCCACTACATTTCTATTGATCTATCTCTCAACCAATATGCCAGTTCATTTTAGCTAGCTCTGCTTCCATACCCTCATAATTGCCGTGATTTAAGATTAAAATAGTAACATCGGTCCCATTCTTCTTTCTCACAAATTGAATGTAAAATTCAGTCATATTATGACTGTTGCTACCAAGGGATGCCTTCATTGTGAGGTCACTAATTACTCCTGTCTCATTGCTCAATACCAAAATGTCCAATTTCTGGTTGGCACCGTTGTGAGAAGCTATCCCAAAAACATTCCAGGAACTGCTTATCTAGACTACCTGAAAGGCAAAATAGACATTGTAGGCATTAAGAGGGACTGAAAGGGAAAAATAGACAGTATAGGTTTACTGGTAATCATAAAGTACATTTTGGAGGTAGGAGGTACAAACATGTAATTATATGACTCGATAATACAATCATGCGTTTTAGTTTAAATACGATTGGTTAATATAATCACATGAATGAACTTGGAATGTGGACTATGCAAAAGTGTTTGGGTAGAGATAGGAGCAAGTAAAGTACAACAATTTGATTAGAAATTATTATTTGTAGGAATAGTTGATTGGAAGCTTGTTATCTGTAAAATTAGTATAAAACATTTGTTCTTGTGATAAAAATTTGAGCTGCATGCCATTTTCTTAATATGTACATCACTTGCATATGCACGAATGAATATTTAAACAAAGAAACCTATGCCTTGTCTGGTCTACGAGGAAATAAAGGTTAAACTCACCGTTACACTGTCTTTGTCCACCTGACTTTTCCAATCGATATGTAGATTACAATACCTCTTTGGCTATCGTTTGTATTTTTCTGACAAGCTCCCATTACTTCTTCCTGTATATAGCACGGCCACACAGTAGTTGGCACTGCCATCTCACAGTGCCAGGACCCAGGTCCGATTCCAGCCTTGGGCGACTGTCAATGTGGAGTTTGCACATTCCCCTGGTGTCTGTTTGGGTTTTCTCTCGGTGCTCCGGTTCCTCCCACAGTCCAAGGTTGTGCAGGTTAGGTGGGTTAGCCATGCTAACTACCCATTGTGTCCAGAGATGCGCTGGCTAGGTGGATTGATCATGGGAAGTGCAGGGTTATGGGGGTGGGTTGTGAGTCTGTGTGGGATGGTCTTCAGAGGGTCGGTGTGTTCTAAATGGGCTGAATAGCCTGCTTCCACACTGTAGGGATTCTATGATTCTAACTTCTTAATCATGCCTCCTATGTGTAAATCTAAATCATTCATGTATTCAACAAAAAAACAAAGAACCCAATAGTTAGCCATTAGGAACCCTACAACAAATGATCTTCAAGTCACAAAATCACTTGTTTACCATTATCCTTTGTTTCTTGCCACTGAACCAATTCTGGATTCAACTTGCTACTCTCCCTTCGATCACATGCAAGTTACTTCTTTGACTAGTTTACCGTGTGGCACCTTGTCTAAAGCTGTGCATGAATTGATGAATCAAATATATTACTCTCATACTTGTTACCTTCTCAAAAAATTTCAATCAAGTTAGACAAATTGTTTTCTTTAACAAATCCATGTTGACATGATTAAAATAATGGTAAGGAATATAAATAGAGCTAGACAGGAAGAAATCTTTCCCCTTGATGGAGGCATCAATGACCAGGTGCATAGATTTATGGTGAGGAGTAGAAGGCTTAGAGGAGGCGAGGAAAAATTTTTTTTGCCAAGGTGGTGGTGGGAATCTGGAACTCACTGCCTGTAAGGGTCGTAGAGGCAGAAATCTTCACGATATTTAATAGGTATTTAGACATGCAATTATGATGCCAAGGTATTCAAGGCTATGGGCCGAGGTTTGGAAAATTGGATTAAAATAGTTTGGTGGTTGTTTTTGAATGGCATGGATCCAATGGGCCAAAGGGCCTTTTTCTGCACTGCAGATCTCTATGACTGACTATGACTATCATTAATTAACATAATTTATACGGTTTCTCAGACCTTTTTCCAGATAATACATAACTATCATCGAGGTTTGGCTGACTGGTCTATACCTATTCAGGGATTTATATTAAGAAATATTATGACCTATCACTGTACATAACTTGAAGTATATTTTTTAATAAATTGACACATTTTGCATGATGTACATTTCTGTCTTTTTTTGTCAAACACACTCACACAGCCAGTGACTGGATCAATGCTGAATAATGTGTTTCTTTTACACTTCAGAATATTTCATTGTAATGATACTGTGTCTTTCTCTATGCTGCTTACAGGAGACTGAAGAGTTCACGGTAATTTTCATCTCCTTTTCCATCGGATACCAGACTGTCCAATTTATCGATGAGCTCTGCTTCTACCTGCAAAAGAGGAACATGAAGTAAAAACTTTTCCAAAGATGCTATCTGAAATATTCCTTCAGTATGTTGTTGACTGGTTGATGTTGTATACCTCTATCTTGGGCTTTTTGGAAAGAACACTTCGCAAAACAATGCAGTTTGCCTGTAGCAGGGAACGATACAACAGAAGCTTCTTGATTAGAACCACTAAGTCTACAATATTATCAGAAAGAGGTCACTTGACCCAGTTTTGACTGTAATCAGGCCACTGGATTTGAACAGAGAATCAGAGTTATATGGATTTCAGCAAGGCCCTTGACAAGATCCCTCATGGGAAACTGATTAAGAAGGTAAAATCTCAAGGAATTCAACATAACTTGGCAAGTTGGATCCAAAATTGGCTTAGTGGCAGGAGACAGAAGGAGGTGGTGAAAGGCTGCTTGTGTGACTGGTGCCTGGTGTGTTCCATAGCAATCACTGCTGGGTTCCCTATTGCTTTTGATATTCATAAATGATGTAGATGAGAATATGAGATGGATGATAAATATGTTTGTGAATGACATAAAGATTGGCTGGGTGGTTACCAGTAAGGAGTGAGGTGTCAGGTTACAGATGGATACAAACAGTCTGGTCAGATGGGAGATCAGTAGCAGGTGAAATTTAACACTGATAAATATTAGGTGATGCACTTTGGAAGAAGGAACAAGATAAGGGAGTACTCAATGAAGGGCAAGACACTACGAAGATCAGAAGAACGGGGATCTTGCCGTGCTTGTCTATAGATCCCTGAAGGTGGTAATACAGGTTAGTAGGATAGATAAGAAGGTATATGGTATGCTTGCCTTTATCAATCATGGCATGATTATAAGAGCAGGGAAGTCTTGATGAAGCTGTACAGTATTTTGGTTAGGCCAAAGCTGGAGTACTTTGTGCAGAGGAAATTTGTCAGAATGATGCCTGGGACTGAGTATTTCAACGAGAAAGACAGGCTGGGTAAGCTCAGGTTGTTTTCTTTGGAGCAGAGGTGGTTGAGTGTGGACCTGATAGAGGTGTATAAGATTATGAAGGGCATGAACAGGGTGAATAGAAAGCAGCTGTTCCCCTTAGTCAAAGGGTCAATAAGAAAGGGGCATAATTTTAAAGTGAAAGAAGGGAGGTTTTGAGGAAAAACATTTTCTCCCAGATGTTGGCGGGAATCTGAAATGCACTACCTGGGAGAGTAGTTGAGGTGGTAAATTTCACAATCTTTAAAAAGTACTTGGATGAGCACACAAAATGTCATAACTTTCAAGGCTATGGGTCTGGTGTGGGAAAGTGGGATTAGTGCAGGTAGTAGTATATTTTTGGCGGTACAAATCCGATCGGCTGAAGGGCCTCTTCTGTACTGCATGATTCTATGATTCTAGATAACATATTAAAAGCGCAAGTCTTTGACTTTCTATCCTTTTTCTGAAACCCCCCTCATATAAAGTTCGTAACTTGAAATCTACCAGTAAGATGACTACCACAACAAGTAGAGTGAACATAAAGGAGATTCCAAAATCTCCACCACTCTCTTATATAACTGATCCAAGAAGACACCCCAGTATCAACAGCTTGTGTATCATGTGACTTTGGCTACAGACCAATATTTGAGGCAACTGGTGATTTTATTTTGTTCACAGTTCAACATTTTGTTAGTAATTTTTACAGCTTGCTTGACTAAGTTTTGTTTACAATAAACAAGTTCTTTATTGTTGCATAAGGAACTTGGTGAACTTGTTTTTAAAGTGGAGCTATAGCAGTCAGATATAGCAGCTTTCTTTTTAAATTCAAGTTTGCTGTGATAATAGAAGAGTGAGACAAGGAAAGGAATTAGTTCACTCCCCCACTACACCCCCAACTCAGATGTAATATTGCACATTATCTTTTCATTTTGCTTTTCCCTGAAAACTTGACCTCCTGTGAATCATGCAACAGATCTGCAGGAATTTTGAGCTTCAGGATCCTCAGCAGCTAATTGCATGGAATAGGGAAGGATTTTAATACTGAAGCTTAACATAGAGGTGGGATGGAAAAGAGGAGAGAGAGCAAATGAGGAAGTTTCCTCCTCAAAATAATATCTTAGGATCTTTTACACCCAGAAAATTGGGACAGCTGCCTCACAGACTAAAAACTGAAAGAACTGCGGATGCTGTAAATTAGGAACAAAAACAAAGTTGCTGGAATAGCTCAGCAGGTCTGGCAGCATCTGTGAAGGAAAAAACAGAGTTAACATTTTGGGTCCGGTGACCCTTCCTCAGAACTCTGAGTTCTGAGGAAGG